GAATATTGTTTGGAGAGTGGCTATATTTACGTGAAGCTTGCTCCAAAATCTAAAAGATACCAGACATATGGTTTCTGTCATGCCAAGTAGAAGCTGTGTTGAACTCTTTAACAAGCAAATAGATTTTTGCAAGGAAATAAAGCATTGAGAATATCCCCCTCCTTTGGAAAGGAGAAGGTTTGCTTCTAAATCTGATGAGAAGAGGTTTAAATAGAAACCTTTAGGTGCCAAGATGTTATATTTGAGTATATGCACATGAATCTTCCTTTTGCTTTTTCAAAAAGACTTAGTGTCCTGTTTGCTGAAGTTGTGGGCTTTTTCTTTGCAGTTCTAAACCAATAACCTCTCTGCTGGACAAACCAGAGGAAAGACCTATGAAGGCAGCAGTCTCACCAGTAAAGGTATGACTGGTATTTAATACAGCAGAAATAATTTTTTTAATATTCTGTGCATTTCTTTTCTTCAGCAATAAAGATGATTAAAGATTGGAGGAAGAAAGTGAGTTGGAAGAAATTAGTAGGGAGGTAACAGAAACCACTAAAAGTTCAATGCTGAAGTGCTGTTACGGCTATAACCTGACTGGCTGTGCTTGACATTTATTTTCAGCCTCTTCAGCCACGGAAAAGAGCTGTCCAGCTGTGTTCCAGTATCTCTCAAGTCACAGAATTAGAGATAAAATTCTTGAACTTGCCACAGGTTGGGATTTTCAAGTGTCTTTAAGTGGTGACTTATCTCTGCCGTTGGTGACTTCGAAAGGAAGAAGATGAGGCTATCGCTACAGCTTCTGATAGTGCCCTTGTTCGTATTGTCTCGAGGGGTTTGTCGCATATTTGGTTTAACAGGTGTGCTTTCAGACTTTTGAGGCAGAGGAAATCACTGCACTGTCATTTATTTTTCAAGACTACTCATGTAACAATTTGACTACAATTATAATGTTCCTTTTGTAGCAGAGGAGAAATCCATTTAATTCTGCTTCATCAGTTGATAACTTGAACACCGCGGAATGGGAAAACAGACCAGCAACTCTACCTCCACTGTCAAAGAAGGGTAAATACAATTATTTAGCATATGACTGTGAATTTCTTGGTGGTTTATATGGAAATTGTTTTTACTTTCATTGCTCCTTTTTGTAAGATATCAAAACTTGTTGATAACTCCAAGTAGTTAAAACTAGTTCATTTCAAGCGCCACTTAAAACATGAATATACTCAGGAAATGGCAGTTTATGTGAGTAAATGGCATTTGCTTCCTTTCTCTTACTCACAGTTCTAGTCAATATTAACACTCCATCTGAGAGGTCTGTTTTTCCTAAGCTGCTGTTAAGAGAACAGAGAAATTTCCTTGAATTTGTGTCTCTATGACCTTCCTGTCGTTGCTGCTGTTGGCTCAACAGAAGCCTACATCTTTGATCTATTTTTTTCCTGTCTTTCTCAGTCTAATTTATTTTTGAATTCTCCTTTTCCCACAGTATTTTCTGCAAGCAAGTAGATGAGTGGTGATATATCATGATATAATAACTTGTAATTTACGGGCTTGTATGTGGAAATTACTTTCCTGTGTCTGATGTGAAGCTTCCTAACAGGAAGAAGGAAAACTTGCACATCAGGAATAATAAAAAAAAATAAAAATCATCTCCCTACCTAGAGATAATTTCTGCATTTTACCTTGTTCTGTATGAACATGGAAATATTCTGTTTCCACTTCTGTAGGTTGCTGTTTATGCTCTGAACCATCTGCTAAATCTTCCTATTGCACACAAATGAAGTTTGACACCTATGTTGAATTTCCACCTGTGTTTTACTGCAGATTGTAGAATCACAGAATTAGAGAGTGGCTTGAGTTGGAAAGCACCGTAAAGATCACCTAGTTCCAACCTCCCTGCCATGAGGGGGGCTCCCACTAGACCAGGTTGCTCAAAGCCTCATCCAGCCTGGCCTTGAACCCTGCCAGGGATGAGGCATCTGCAGCTTTTCTGGGCAGCTTGGTCCAGTGTCTCACCACGTGTTTGATAAAGCAATCTAAGCGCTGCATTCCCGATCTGCACTGTCATATCTCTCTTTATGTAGATGAAAGTCATGTAAACTCGTGATTTCTTCTCTATACATATCTTACAGAAACTTTGTCGCCCTTGGCAGAGACCCAACCTAAACCGAACTTGCCAAATGATGAAATGGAGAAACATAAGAAGCCTTCTGTAGAACCTACTGATGAATCACAGAAGGGACTAGTTAAGCGTCCTGTCCCAAAAGCTCGAAAATTAATTCACAAAACAACAGATTCTGTGTCACAACGAGACGACTTTGTTCCAAAACCAGCCAAATGGACCGAGAGGATGAACGGCATCGGAACGCCGCCCAGGGGCATTCTGAAGCGCAGTTCAAGTTCCAGTTCCACCGACTCAGAAGTTCGTGTTGGTCAGATGTTAGATGTTCAGAAAAAGAATGGTCTTCCTGCTGCGACTATTTTTGAAGGCAAAGCTGAGAAGAACTCTCTAACGGGAGAAGCGGAAGACTCCACACAGATTTCACTGGAAAAACTAAAACAAGTGAGGTTCTCATCTAGCTCAGGTAAAGGAGAACCCCTGCAACGCGCAGAACTGCACCATGGTAGAGAAAGAGGGGAGTTTGATTTGTTAGAATCTGATGAAGTAAAGAGTAGTGGAAATGATGCTATTGGATCAGATTCATTTGGGAATAAGCAAATTCCTGGTGTGAGGCCTTTTGGAACCAATTCATCAGCTTTACAGATAAAACCAGTAGATGGCTTACAAGAAGACACATCGGCATCCGGCCCCTCTGACACTAATAGATCAGTGTTCCTGGATGATGAAAACTTGCAGACAAAGGCAGTTTCTCCTAAGAAACTTGCAACTCCACAGAAGACCTCCAGTAATATCCTGCCAGACAGCAATAACGAACTGAGCGTTGATGACACATGTGAAAATAAACCCAACCAGATCTTGAGTCATGAATCAAAATCACAGAAAAACTTTACTGGTAAGAGACTAATGGGAGTGAAGAACAGAGTGCAATAGCATATAACATGTGTTCATTAATGTTTTAATCACTCGTGTCTAAACATTAACAGCTAGGAAACAGAAAGAGTAGAAATGTGCTACACTGCAGAATTAAATCGCTTTTTTGTATTTTCGTGCTCTAATGTACTGTTGGTATTAAGCGTTAACAATCAGATTAGAGCCTGGATAGGCACCTTTATTGTGGATGATGAAGGTGAAGTGATGGCATCTGGATAAAATGGTTGTCATGTGGCCTGGTAGGCCTGTCTGCACGGGGACTGAATAATTTTTGGTGTACTGCTCTCAACTCTCCTTGGTAGTAATCCAGTTTTGACTTGGGGATTTGCTCATGGGACAAACCGCAAATTTTCTAGTTTGTCATCTTCCACCTGGCCACCCCTTCAATAGAGCCATTTCAACCAACCTTAACTGCTTGCACCCTCAAAATCAATATGATTAATCTTCCAGTAGGATATCTCAGTGCAGGAATTGATTTTTCACTCTATTACCTGCAGCATGCTTCTTTCCAAAACCACAGGGACAGAGAACTCTTTTTTCTCTGCTAACAGCTGAAAAAACCTCTTGGATTTTTTTTAAGATAGATCAAACATTTTGTAGAGTCACGTGTCTGATTCCTAACTCTGTTTGTGTTGTAGGTGAACATCAGCTTTCTGCCGGCAGAGAAGCACATGAGATGTCAAACATGAATTCTACAAGTCTTCAACAAGGTAAGCCTGATCTTGTTGAGGAGCAAGATGCTAAAACCCCTTTCAAGCCTGACAAACACGCTGATGAACTCACGAAAGTGGATGATGAATCTGTATCAAAAATTTTAGATTGGTTTAAAAGAAGTTCTGATACAGAAGATAGGAAACGTGTGTCAGCCAGATCCCAAGGCAGGGAACCCAAAGAGGAAGTGGATTTCTCATCCAGAAGAGCAGTGCTTCCTACAAAACACAGTGGGCCTAGCATGGATGGAAAAATGAAAGTTACAGAAGAGTTGTCATTTGGAAAGATTAAACAACAGAATAGTAGTTCACCTACATCATTTATTTCAGAAGGTACACAGCTGATGAAAGAGAAGATGAAACCTAAGAAAGGAGATGAGAATAGGGAGCAAAATGACAAATCATTAACTGAATCTGACTGTACAAGAGTTGAAGAAAGAGAACGTGGTCAAGAAATCAAGCAAGAAAATCAAAAATCAAAGTTCCTGGAACAGCAAGAACACAAGCTACTGAGTCAGAAGTATGAGTCAGAGAAGGCAGTACAAGAAAAAAGAAGAATGAAAGAGATCAGAGCATTCTGGGAAAGGGATAAAATTATCCCCAGTCATGGAGAGAAAGAAGCGAGTATCAGTGCTACAGCATCAGGTGACTTATGGAGAGGTCTTGGAGAAAATGACAAAATAAACCCAGTACCTAATCGGTTTGATGATCCAAGCAAGAATGTGTTAAGAAGTGTTGAACGAAGTTGTGCAAACCAGGCTTCAAGAAATGAACACCCAAACTCTTCTGTGTTTGGGCCAGGCCATGCAGTTGAAAAAACAGGAAGAACATTTCCACCTGATGAAGTTCATGAATATACAGAATTGGCAAAAGCGAGTAATAACGTGGAGCCTAGTGTTGATGTCACTTCAGCTTCCCCAGAAAGCAAAGACAAAAATGAGAAAGAAGCACTTAAAGGAAGAGCTGGGGCTTATTCCCAACCAAAACCCAGTTTTCAGATTCTCTCTTTAAAAGAAAGAATTAATGAAAAGTTCAAGAATCAAATCTCAGATCCTTCACAGTTCCAGAGTTTGAGAAACTTCTGGGATTCTGGAGTTAAAATGCAGAATAACATTGATAGGGGAGATGCTTCTTTGCCAAGTAACGCTAGCTCAATAACCAGTGAGGGAAAATCAAAGGAAGATAAAAAAGGCAGAGATAATGTGAGCAAGCAAAGCCAACAGCAAACCCAAACACCAGAGGGAGAAAAACCACAGAAACTAGATCCTTTGGTATGTGAACTGCCTCTAGGATCACCTTCTGTGAAAGGTCCGAGTGTGAAACGTGTGAAAAATACAGACTCTGCCCAGCTGGACAGCAGGCCAGCTATCTCAGAGCCCCAGATGGGTCTCCCAGAGCAAGAAGTTAAAGAAGATATAGAAAAAAGTATTGTTATGCCAAAAGAACATCATGTTTCCTTGCAGTTGCTCCAGTCACCTGGTGATTTAAAGGAGAAAGCAGTAGGTGATCGGCCGTGTTCACCTGGAGAAAAATTGAAGAATGAGGCTATTCTGCTGGGTGTCTGTCTCCCTAAAGAGGACGTTACAGAGACTGTGGGTAAGGTTGTTCTACCTAAACCTGAGCTTGATGTATTCAAATTAGGCCTGAAGAAGTTAGAGAAGGAAGCCTCCGAGACATCAGCTAGCTTGAACCTAAAAGAAAACATTTTGAGAGAGACAGCTTCTCACTCAAAAAGCACAGTTAAACAAAGCCGTGACATTTCTCCTGCTGATCAGAAAGAGGAAATAGGCAGAAGCACAGGAAAAACAAATGTGCCATCAACAGATGAGCATGAAACCAAAGGCCTCAGGAAACTCTTCAGGGAATTTGAACCTTTCTATCTACGACATCAGGCAGCAGACAAGGGCAATAGTCTTGAGGATTCACAGAGGCCTCGAGCTGGTTTGCAGAACCTGCTCAGAGAAACCTCTGCAGCTCAATCTTCTGAGTATAGAAGAGAGGGAATGAAGACATCCAGTGACATGAATGATACATCACAAATTATCTGTAGTGTTAAATCAACATGCCAAGAAGATACTGATCAAACTGAAGAGGTCAGTGAGACCACAGAAAAGTCTGTAGCCCCATCCAGGGTCAGTGGCTTGAGTTCTGCTTTAGAGAAGCTGATGGAGGCCTCTGAACCATCACCTCCTAAACCAGGGTATGCTGTTAACAGAGTACAGAGAACTGCTGAGGTAGAAGTTAAAAGCAGGACCTATCAGCATGGTGGAGAGTTGCTGCAGGAAATCGGTGAGTCTGTAGAAAAGTCTGTTGCCCCATCCAGGGACAGTGGCTTGAGCTCTGCTTTAGAGAAGCTGCTGGAGGAGGCCTCTGAAAAGCCACCTCAGAAACCAAAACGTGCCAACAGCATGATACAGGGAACTGCTGAGGTGGAAGCTAAAAGCAGCAGCTGTGAGAATGATGGAGAGTTGCCACAGGAAATCAGTGAGATGATAGAAAAATCTGTTGCTCCATCCAAGGTCGGTGGCTTGAGCTCTGCTTTAGAGAAGCTGCTGGAAGAGGCCTCTGAAATACCACCTTCTGAACTAAAATGTGCCACTAGTGTAGTGCAGAGAACTGCTGAGGTGGAAGCTAAAAACAGGACCTATGGGCGAGATGGAGAGTTGCCACAGGAAATCAGAGAGACCATAAAAAAGTCTGTTGCCCCATCAAGGGTCAGTGGCTTGAGTTCTGCTTTAGAGAAGCTTATGAAGGAGGCCTCTGAAAAGCCACCTCCTAAACATGCAGACAGTATGGTACAGAGAACTGCTGAGGTGGAAGATAAAAGCAGGATCTATCAGCATGATGGAGAGTTGCTGCAGGATATTGGTGAGACCATAGAAAAGTCTGTTGCCCCATCCAGGGACAGTGGCTTGAGCTCTGCTTTAGAGAAGCTGCTGGAGGAGGCCTCTGAGCTGCCACCTCCTAAGCCAAAATGTGCTGACAACATAATACAGGGAACTGCTGGGGTGGCAGCTAAAAGTAGGAGCTATGAGCATGATAGAGAGTTGCCACAGGAAATCAGTGAGACGATAGAAAGATCTGGGCTGTCCAAGGCTGAATATGAATTATTTGATGTTAATTTGCAGAAGCCACTAAACGAGGTTTCTGAAACACTAGCTTCTGCGCTGCAAAGTGTGGATAAGAAAATGCAAGGTAGAATACAGGCTAGTCAAAGTATGCTTTCTCCACATCAACAAGAAAGTGGTCCTCTTCAAGAAATACAAGAAACAATAGAAAAAACTTCTGTTTCAAATACTGCAAAATTCCGTGAATTCAGTAGCTCTCTAGAACAGCTTCTTCAAGAAACATCTGAAGCTTCATCTCCAATACCCAAAGAGTTACACAGACAAGACAAGTTTGGAGATCGTATGTTTCCACCACAGAAAGAGACTCTGTTCATGGCAGTGTCACAGCCGTATAATGCTTTAAGTCGCTGTCATACACAGAGAGAAATAGCTGTCAAAGGGGAAGCTCCAGAACTAAATATCAAAGCTTCAGTAAATGAAATTGAAGCTTCTGTTCCTCCTAAAAGAAATGGAGCTAATAATAAAATAGAAAAGAGAAACATGTCTCCAATTGATCTTCCTCCTTTGGAAGGAGAGGCCAACTTGGCTGCGATCAAGCCGTTCATGAATGGAGAAGGCAGAAGAGATGAAAGCACACCCTTGGATGCCTCTGAAAATAATTCAGAATTTAAAGCACCGTTGAAATTCCGAAGAACAAGCACGCCACTTAAAGATGAGAGCAACTCCTGCCAGCCAGGAGGAGCTCAACTCTGCTTAATGTCTCAGCGTGAGGATAATGATCAAAAGGAAGGGTCCAGCTCAAATTTGGGATCCAAGTTTTCAGATAACTCTGAGTCCCACTCTGGAAGCAGACAAGCAGCTCATGAGCCGTTTGATTTCTAAAATTCACAGTGCTGGGTTGTTAAACATGGCTACAATATTTTTGGTAGCCAACTTGAAATATATTAACCAAAAGCCTGTGTGATACTTGTTTGTTAACTGAGTGCTTTGGATAATTATTTGGGAAAAGTGGGAAGACTAATCAAGCCCTTTAATTGGAAAGTCTTTGAATAACACATTTAGCTATGCCTCTCAGATCAATCGCATCAGTCTTCGTGATTCACCCTTTTCTTCCTCCCACGTGACATCTCCTTCAAATTAATAATGTTCTAACACTCAAAATCTGGTATTTCTTTAAAATATCCTAGATTAAAAGAGGAAAAAACCCGAAACTATCAGTGGCTGACTGAGTTTGTTCTTTAGTTTGACCAGCTAGTCTTCCAAGGCAAACACTTAGCAGCGGAATGGCTGGGTGCAGAAACAAAACCAGTGCTCTCTGCTGTTGCATTTAACGTTTCTGCGGGTTGCACTGGAGAGTGGCCGTGGAAATGATCTCTTTACTGGAATTCTTATTAATTGGTTGAATGGCAGCTCTAGTCAGTGTATAGATTGTGATGGTCGTTAGAAGACTTAAGGTAGAGGAGATAATTTAACCTTTTTAATCTGTTCCTGAAAGACTGGGAATGTCTTCTTTACCTGGAGAAGCTGAGGAGATCTGTGAAGTTTCCAGGGCCTGTCAATTTACTCTGGAGCCTATTTTGAAAGGGAGGTTCCAATGGCAGTTGGTGAAAACTCAAAACGAATGAGGGAAAAATTAAACCAAATTTATTTTTACCCATAATAACAGAGAGCGACACTGTAAGGCCTGGTTGATTGCCTGATGGGGAGGAAAGTAAGATAGGGAGAAGATCTTAAAGGATTCTAAAGGAGCTCAGTCTGGCTTGATTCTGCACTCAGAAACAACTGCATGATTTCAGGGATGCCAATAGCTCCACAGCTGTTTTTTTGGGGGGGTTGATTTGGTTTACTTTCGTGGTTGTTACTCAAATATTGAAAAAAAAATTACTTTCACTGGGGGGGGGGAAACATATCAAATATAACGGACAGAGTTAAACAGAGGGGAGAAAAAACTAAAACTGTTTCTAACTTTTTGTTGGTGTTGACTCATAACAAGTCAAAAAGTTACAGATGTACAAGAAGATTCAAGATGTCTGAGTTTATCTTACGTTGTTCTTAGACAACTGAGTGCCATAATAGCCCGATACCCCTCTCTTGGTACAGACAGGGATACGTATGCAGGACAAAGCAACCAACCTGCTTCTCCCTACTGATGGCTCGGAGAATTTAGAGAATGCAGAAAGACGTTTAAAATTAGATGTTTCTGTGGGGTCTGTTTTGTATTTTCGTTGAATGTTAACTGTGTTTGCTGACGGTCAAAATGGATTCTCATGAGAAATCCCTGGGGATTTTTTAGTGATTGCTTAAAGTGGCGCATGTGTGTGTGTGTGCAGTGTTCATGTGTTTTGTCTCATGACAGGTTCAGAAGAAGAACTAAACCCTGTTTTGATGGCTTTGAAAAGGAGTGCAGATAGGAAAATGCCTTCCAAAAGTCTAGAGGATATTCCATCAGCCACCTCAAGTGAGCACAAAGCTTGTGTGTGTCTCCCATGACCCCTAGTTTGGCTTAAATGTGTTCGTGCTCGTTTTCCATACAGCTTTGCCAAGTAGCGTTTTTGTCTTTGTTTCTCGGTGAGCCGTATGGAGTTTGTACTGTAGGTCTGAAGTCTTTTCTCACACGGTTTAGTTTTCAGTTCTCTGTGTTAATTTTGAAACAGCACTGAGCTGTGAAGCAGACATCTTCCAAAAACTGAGTCACCATCCCTGGGCGTGTTTAAAAAACAGTTCGATGTGGCACTTCAGGAGATGGTTTAGTGTTAGGGTTGTTGATGATCTTAAAGGTCCTTTCCAGCCTTTACGATTCTATGAAATGTGCTGTGTTAATTGGTGATGAACTCTGTTGGATAGTTTTTCTATAGTGAAAATATTGGCAACTACCAAAATCAGCAACGAGCAACAGCCTCCATTGTCTCCTGGCTCTTTGCTTGGGTCAGATTAGTGGACAGTGGAAGTATGAGGAAATCATCGTAATTTGGAAGTGTCTCACCTGTGTATTCTAGCAGGTAATAGAGCAAAATCACTTTAAGAGAATACAGGGAGACAAGAGTCTACTTCAAATTAATTCCTGACTTCCCTCTGTAGCCTCCCAAGATTTTTCTTTTGTTTTAAAATTATTATTATCACCCTTCATCCTGCCCCTGAGTGTTTTCATGCTTATCTCATGTCTAACAGGAGAGTCAAACTAAATCTCTGTTTATAAACGGAAGTGTGAAGGTAGATTTTGAAAGATGTTGGCCATTGCTGGCAAAATTACTCCTTTTAACACCACTTACGCTATTGCTTGCTTCTAACTAGTTTCTAGGTTTTAGGTGTGCACTAACCTTGTTGAAGCACCACGCTGATAGAAACTGTGTCGACATGAGACTGCTGCTTGGATGTAAGCTTGAAGTAGTGTGGGAAGTAGAAAGCAGCTCTTGAATTTAACCATTCCCATGGCTCTGCTGATTTGGTTGGGTTTTCTTTTTTTTGCCCTCATTACTCTTAAATCTGCAATTACCACTGCAGTTAGTTTCATCGTACTGAACAGCAAAGTTTCTAACGGTGTTACTTTTTTCCTGCACAGATAAAAGAAAAATAAGTAAGCCAAAAGAAGAATTAGCTCTTAGTGCTGAAGATGGTAAATATCTTTTGTGTCTACATGGAAGTTTATTGGTTTTTTCCAATGTCCCTTGTTTGCTAGTGAAGGATTCTTTTTTTAAAACCAAGAATTACATTGTGCTTTTAGGTTCAGTTAACTTCAACATGGCTGAAATCCTTTTGCAAAATTTGTGTTGTGCTGTTTTATTCTTAAGGAATGTGCTTATGTCCTGATATATCTGTAGAAACTCTCTGCCCCCTGCCAGTGTAGTATTTTGGCCTGTGGTCATTCAGCCCATGAAGCGGTGACTGAAATCATGAAGAACTTTAAAAATGAGCTCAGCTGAAAGATTTGCCCTAAGTAAATATTGCCTTTGTCTGTTTGTCCGTTGCATTTTAAGATGTGAGATGACTTCTTGCTAGTCCAAAACACCCTTCAAGATCGTCAGTTGAAAGGGAACCGTGCTTAAATCCCTGTCTCAATAAAGCAAACCAGAATTACTCTGAGCAATAGCTGCACTGCTGGATCAGCTGCTTTTGATATCATCAGCCCACTAGTGCATTACAGATGCCTTCCTGTTAGGTTTTTTCTGTATATCTTTAGAAATTCTAAGTCTAAGCAAAATAAAAGCAAACCTGCTCCAAGAACGCGGCAAGATGAATGCAATAAAAGACCATCAGATAACATTAAATATGGTGGCATATAACACAATTCTTTCTTTACTGCATTAGAGCACTAGAGTTGTTGTTTTTTTTTAAAAAAAAGTTGTACACAGTTGCATTTATTGTCATGCTTTAAATGCTTTAAGGCATTTTGCATGCTAGTGGCCTATGGTATAAATAGGATGATCGTAGCATAATAGGATGCGTGCTATGTCCAGTAAATGAACAACACATAAGTACCGAACTGCACTTTGCTTCCAAAAGGAGGCCCCTACTGAAAACACGGTTTATATTCACTATAGACTGTGTAGACACTTACCTGAAAAGTGTGGTGTTGTTTTGAGTTAAATTTATTGAGAGTGAAGTTTTGGGGGAAAAAAAAAAGGCAAGCACAGACAAATTGATAGCTGTACAGGCAGAATAAGGCAAGTTCTCTTGAAAATACTATTAATTTGCTTTGCTTGTTTTGTACGCTCGTTTTACCTTTGTTATGATTCACCTCCTCAAAGGAGGACAGATGTAAAACACAGAAACATACGGGGTCTGGGGAAGTCAAAAGCTTCCCACGTGTAAATATAGTGGTGCTGTTTAACTCATTGCAAAACTTTTTGTGCTACTGAGTGATTGTTGAATACTGCACTGAGCAGGTCTCAAACCTGAGCAGCATCAAGAGAGGAATCAAAATGCCGCAGGAAGTGAGTAGCAGGATTCTTCTGGCAGACAATGGAGAGACTTCTCCACGGATACTTCAACTAATACATTAAAAATACTTTTTTTTGTTTCACAACTAACAAGTTATGTGTCTGGACTAGATGGGGAAGCTGCAGCTAACTGCACACTGACAGTAACTGATGTCTTGAGTGCTACTGGAGCTTCAATAGCAAAACCTGTGCAAAAGCTTAGCTCGCACCTTGCAAGCAATCCCGTCGTGGGTGCAGGGTTTCATTTTATGTAATAGGTACGTGCCCATGTAGCTGGCTTTTTGTTGCCAAATAATTCTCTGTCATATGATATTGGTGCATTTCACAAGGTGTGCCCAGTCCAAAGATGTAGAGCTTTAGTGCATTTTTAAATATTATTAAATGGAGTTAGAGTATGGGAAATTGTGAGACTTGTGGTTCTACCACAGACTGGATTCTTGCAAGGCTTGCTTGTGCAGTTAAGCTTTGTACTTTGACAGAGCGCAGAAGTGAACTTCAGTAGAGATACACAAAAGTTGAAGAGATAGGCTGCAAAAAAAATGCATTATAACGATATGCTGCTTCTCATTAACTAGGAACACTTAGAACTTCTTCAGGTCTGAAAGTTGCTTGATTTACACAAATTCCTATTGCAATTAATTAGTCTGAGTAAATAGAAGAACAGAGTTTGGCTTCTCTGCTAACTTGTTACCAAGAACCTTAGGACGACTCTAATGTCAACTATGTGTGGTTAGCGCAGGAGTGCGCTAATGCTCATTCTAGGAAGCAAATCCAGAGGGTAAACTGAAAATGTTTTCTTCATCCCATTTGATCAGAGTTTGTTTGCAGCACCCAGGCCTGTACATCGTGTCAAGCAGCATAACTGCTTTGGCTCCTGCCAGACAATGTTCTCTAGTCAGGGCTACAGGAGATGGCGAAGTAGGTTTCCTTCTTAATGAGAGTTTTTCTGAGTCCTGGGGCGAGGCGGGCGAAGTAATCTTGCGTCCAAGCTGTAAACTGTTTGTGCATGTGCATGTACTTCATCTGAAGTTGTTTGTTTCTAACCATGTCCTTTTGTGGAATCTCACTGTTTTGATGTACAAACATATTCTTGAAGCCTTTTGATTTGCTGCTCCTTAGTTTCCACAGTGCCTTCACAGCCTGATAAACTATTTTCCAATCCGGAAAAACTCAAAGGACTGAGCAAGTCAGTACCATCATTCCTCCAGGAAGAGGCAAGTTCCATCTCCTCTGAAATATTGTAACTAAAACTTTTGATTGCTCTGGCATTTTGCATTTGTCAAGCAGTGCTTTCCAGGGTCTGCCAAGCCAATTTACAACTGCACCACGGTGTGGGGTTGAGCTTGTGGTATAATGATCAGGAGAAGATCCCAAACAACCCGTGGCTGGTTTTCAGATGCTTTTTCTGGAACAGCTTGCCTGGGAAGGTGCCAGTGCACACGTGGGGAGCGATAGCGCGGAGGCAGAACGAGGTCATAAGCACGTAACCTGCGAAAGCCATTCGCCGTATGCAGTTCTGTTGTACTGTGCTCGTTACCTTCCAGCTAGCTGCCTTCAGTCAGAGGGTACAGAGCCGGTGGTATTTGCTGTGTAACCTGAGCTTTATCATGTGCATGGTTTCGTGCGTGAGATAGTGAAGTAGAGAAGCTAGTTATCCCAATGAAGTTAGCAATGAGAATGTACAAAGTTATTTGAGATTTAAAACCAAAACCCACAATGTTTGCATTACTGCTAAAAAAAAAAATCAGTGTAGGGTTTCTGTCAGGAAAGAAACACCCTTTCAACGCTCTTTTTAAAGTGCATGACCTAATATAATAAATATTAATTACTTATGGTGCTCTACAAGGGAGTTTAAATTCAGTTTTTCACCGTCTCAATCTGTATTAATGTTGTTTTGTTTTTTGGGTTTTTTTTTAATGTTCCTTGTAACTATAAAGAACCTACACAGACTTTCTTTCTGTGATGTTTTTGTAGAGTGATGACAGAGAGACAGATACAGCATCAGAAAGCAGTTATTCCCTTGGCAGAATCAAGAAGAGTCCCAGCTCTCTAACCAATCTTAGCGGCTCTTCTGGCATGGCCTCCTTATCCTCTGTATGTAAACCAAAACCTTGTGTTAATGGCCCTTTCCTTTTGCTAATCTCTTCAGGGTGGTTTCAGCTCCCTTCTTGTTTCTCTTATCTTTCTCCCCTTGGCATCTTCTCTGTCTCCTTCCTTCCCTCTTGGTTATGTGAACCCCTTGCATGAAATTGCCTAAAAGAAATAAACAGGTTTGCTTGTTTTATTTTCTGGTAATATATTAGAGCTTTTTCAGGACTCGACTGTGCAGCATACTCTAGAAACACTGAACAAAGGGATGGCTTTTACCCTAAGAGCTTGCACTTGTAGCTGAAAATGAGGGACAATTTATATAGAAGAAACATTTAGAAAAGGAGAAAGGGGGGAGGAGTAAGTGAAAGCAGGAGACAGCACTGGTACATGGGGTGTGTGATTGTATCGGTGAACTAGCTAACCAAAAGTCATCAGTTTATGAGGACTTCACGGGAGAAAAGTAGAAATTTGGGGAAGGGTATTGAGACTGTCCATCTGTCTCTTTCTACATATGTAGTGTTTAATTTTCAGTGTTTTATTCAGGTACGTAACTCAGCTGTGTAGATTGTATTACTAATCTTTGCTGCTTTCAGAAAGCCTGTTGTCCAAAACTTTTAGGAAGATCAGCTGAAGAGATATATAAGTAATCTCCAGATCTATGACATTGTGTAATTTTATTTTGTCTTGATGCAATAAACAGATTCAAAATATTTTTTTTGGTAGAAAACTTTGACCAACACCTTTGATTTGCAAATAACTTTCTATTATTAATCTGTTTGCTGAGAAGCTTACGAGTGTCCATCTCATTTTGTTATTACATCTGAAGAGACACAGTTGATTTCTTTACTGTCTGAATTCGGAACATAACTTCTCCCCTGATCGTGGAGCATCCAGTGAAATGCAATGCCTAGAAATTTTTTTTTCCTCTTGTCTGATGCAGGTGAGTGGAAGTTTAATGAGCATCTACAGTGCAGACTTTGGCAACGTTGATGTGCAGGGGAACATTCAGTTTGCCATCGATTACGTCGAACAGCTGAACGAGCTCCACATCTTTATTTGCCAGTGTAAAGATTTGGCGGTGGCAGATGTCAAGCGACAACGTTCAGACCCGTAAGCACAGCGCATATATTTATTTCCTAGTGGAAGTTTTTTCTTTCAAGGTGAAAATGAAAACGATTAAGTCTTTTTTTTCCCATCTCTATAACCTCATGAAGTAAACAACCCAATAAATAAATGAAGAGGCTATAACATGCTTTATGTGATTTTCCACTCTGAACTGAATATAGAATTGCTGCTATAAATTGGTACATATATTAATATGGGAGGCTCAAACTTGTAAGAATATGAAATTCTCTTTTAAAATTCAACTTTCCAGGTGGTAAATCCTGCTTTGACAAGTTTTCAGTAGGATTAGAACCTATAAGTAAGATATCTAGGCATACTGTAGTTAAATATTCTGTGTTTGTATGTGTCGAGAGACATTTCAACAGATTTCCCCTGGTAGGAGGAGGTTAATGTCCCACTACTGTTAGACTTCCAGTGCTGTCCCATTTCTTATATGTAACAAGGTGAAAACCAGTGACTAGTTAAATGGATTTCTTCTACTTTATAAGCAAGTAGTGATGTATTTTGGAAAGGGAAGTTGTAAAAGGTGGAGTTTTTCTTCTCCTAACAAGTCTGTCTAAATTTTAGGTATGTAAAGACTTACCTGCTTCCGGAGAAGTACAAGCTGGGCAAACGGAAGACCTCTGTCAAAAAGAAAACTTTAAGTCCAGTCTATAATGAAATACTGCGGGTATTTATCAAAGTGTCACTAGATATGAAATACCGCATGCCTGAGGTATGGGGAACCTTGACTTTTAGACACGGGCCTAGATGCTCTCAAAGAGACGTCGGGATGAGGCAGATTGCCTTGTGGCCGTACCTCTGTCCTTCCAAGGGTGGGTTAACTCCGCAGTGAGAACACCAGTCGTTGTGCACATCTTGCAAACAAACACAAGCTGGGCATGAGCTTAAGATGCTCGAAAATAAGTAAAACATGAAGGCAGTTTGGTTTTGAAATGGAGAAGTAAGCAGTGACGTGTAAACCCAGACACTTGTTCCTAACCTTGTCACTTAACAGCGGTGATAAAAATCTAGCTTGTTTTCATTTTCTGTTTTGTTTTTTTTTTTTTTTAATTTCATTTCTTCCTCCTGGCAGTATAAAATTGAGAAGAGTCTCCTAAAGAACCAAAGCCTTAATATCTCTGTGTGGCACAACGATACCTTTGGGAGGAATAGCTTCCTTGGGGAAGTGGAGCTGGATTTAGGAACTTGGGACTGGAACGATAAATCAAACAAGCAGATCAACTGGTTTCCACTCCAGCCAAGGGTAGGTTCCTAAGGGAGGGTTAGCTGCTTTGTATTTTTTGCTGTGTAAGTGCAGAACTAAGTCATTATTTATTTAGGCTTGGTCTTGTGTGTTCTGTGGGTTTTATGTTGGTTATAGTCATAAATACCTCTTCACTGGTAAATGGAACGTGCAGTTCTGAGGTTTCTATTAGTCTAGTAAGTAGCTCGCTATTATAGTAGGAGAAACTTTCTCACAGTGTAAAGAGTAGGAATTTAAAGGTATTTTTCACTTGCGTCACGAATATGTAGTAAAACTATATCAATAAAGTGTGGCAACGTTTTAACATCAGATGTGATGATGACTCCCATGTCTGGATTCCTCTTGTTTGTCAATGGGTTTCAGCTAAAATCTGAACTTTTATCTAAGCCACTGCCAGAGGTTCTGTTTTCTTTTGTTTTTCTCTTTTTCATTTTTTTTTCTTTACTTGAATTTACTAAACTGATTCATTCCAAAATTAGCTCAATCCAAAGTTTAATAATTTGCAGAACAAACCAGGAATGCTCTGGTGGTCTTTAGCATTCCTTGGATTTAACTGGCTTTAAAACTGCTCTGAGTAAATCAGTGTAACAAAATGTTAACAGGTGCCATGTTCCATCTACAGATGGTCTGTGACTCTCTAGCAAAACGTGACATATTCTTATGCCTTTTGCAAGATGAGTCTTATTAAGCCTGATTTATTTTTTTTTAGATTGTATTAAATGAGACAGAACATTCCTATAGAAATGTGTTGATAAAAGTCCACTTTCTGTTGCACAAATAAGTTTCCTGATTGAAAGAGCCTGTGTTCTAAATTTTCAATATGTGCACAACAGTGCGAAAGATGTGTCCTTAAGGCTCTTTGGCCTCTCCTGGGTCTTGCTTTCTGATTTAGTGGAAGAGGTCTATGTCGGAGGCACTGTCAAGTGGTTAAACATGCCATAAAATTTCTTATGTCCTAACTTGAAGGAAGACGTAACAGCTAAAGAAGCAAGAAAAAGAACTGTCCTTATGTAGAAGTCAGGCTTGTTCCAGTAGAAGATTTTGCATTGTAAACTCTGTGCATGAGCTTCAAGGTTTGAGATTTGTGGCTTTTTTCTTAAATTTCAGACTTCTACAATAGCTCTTCCACTAGAAAGGGGAAGAGGGGAGATGAAACTAGCCCTCCAGTATGTCCCCCACCCTGTTGGAGGTAGGCACTGCTGCTTTGTTTGGGTTTGTCAGCAAATTCAGACATCTTGTTTTAAGATAAAAAAATTATCTTCACCGTTTTTCCTAGAGAATTAAGTCTTGTCATGAATTCAGCTTAAGATCCAAAGATCACTTTAGGATCTCTTATCTAGATCCTCTGTTGTTTTTAATGTTACTGCGGAAGAAATTACCTCATTGTAACAATCTTAGACTCATAATGCAGTCTATATGTGTAACAAAACTTGGTTTTCTCACTAATAATTTTAGAGGGGTCGGTTAGCTCAGTGGTTTGAGCGCGGTGCTGGCAACAAGGATCAACACCGAGGTTGCAGGTTCGATTCCCGCTCGGTCCCCATGTGTTGCCAGGTCTAGTTGAGAGGTGGCTTCCCTGCCCAAATCAGGGAGGTTGGACTAGATGATCTCTAAGGTCCCTTCCAGCCTAGGCCATTCTCTGATTCTATGATCTCTTTCTAGATTATAAATAATCAGGCAGGTGCTGCGATTTGCTACATGAACAACCACAAGACGCTAAACGTAAGCAATATTAGAAGTAAAAATAGCAGTATATATTCAGAATGCAGCAATTTATAGCAATATGATCTGTCTTTTTTATTCTTGTCTGGCAACTGACCACTGGCTGATCGGACAGTGAAGTCAAGTCTTTATTCAGTCTGTCAATAAGAATCAAATATGTTAAGAGCACAAAGGAGTTTATTTGAAAGTACAAGCAGCAATAAATGCTGACATCACAAAGACTGAAGACAAGTTGATGTTTTTATGTGGGAGGCTGGGAAAGAGAAGACCAGCAGCATGCATTTGATAAGTTGTAACAGAGAAAAGTCATCGTAGGAGTGGATGTGATCTTGCAGTTCTTTGATGGGATGAAGACTGCAGCTTCGAGAGTATGGAGAGGGATGTTGAATTAAGATGTGAGATAATAGGATCAGAGAATCATAGAATGTGTTGGGCTAGAAGGGACCTTTAAAGGTCATCTAATCCAACCTGCCTGCAGTGAGCAGGGACAAAGAGAGTCTGGGCTGAATGTCACCTCTACAAATGGGCAGGAACTTGTGCAACATAGAAATTATGTTTAAAACGGATTTAAAGGGATGAATAAGATGTTTTATTTTTACAGGAAAGAAGACTCAATATACTGGTGAGGTCCACATCTGGGTGAAGGAATGTCATGACCTTCCTCTTCTGAGAGGCAACAGGCTCAACTCTTTCGTTAAGTGGTAAGGAGGTTGAAGTCATCAAACATGGTGGTCTGATGATGTTACTGTTGTTTTCTGACCTTTGTTTTTCTACATTCAAATTAAAACCCGCCTAATTTTCTTCTGATTCTCCTTTATTGTAATGCAAATTGTGCTGCAGGGCTTACAGCTTCAAAATGCTAAGTACATCCCACCAAGTAAAACATACTGGGAGAACTTCCTGCATAATTGCTCCTCTTTCATTTTGTCTGCCTAGTTACTGGTGAAAGGGCGAGTCAAAATTGTCCCTGCTTCTGTTTGCATTTAAACAAAGGCTGTTTGTGCAAGGGCATGGCTTACCTTAGCCTTGTGGGAGGAGACAGAAATGAGAACTGTAGTTCTGTTTCTTCCTCCCTTTTCACATACAGACCGAAAACATGAAGAGGCAAGAATGCCAAGACAGCTGGGAAATCGCTGGCAGCAATAGAAAGGTTTTCAGTGTCATACAGCAATTGCTAGTGATAAGAGGAAATGGGCTCAAGTTGCACTAGTGGAGGTTTAGACTGAATATTAGGAAAAGTTTCTTTACTGAAAGAGTGGTGAGGCATTGGAACAGGCTGCCCAGGGAAGTGGTGGATTCACCATCCCTTGAGGTGTGCAAAAAACGTGTAGATGTGGCACTTCAGGACATGCTTTAGTGGTCATGGAAGTGTTAAGTTGATGGCTGGACTTGATGATCTTTGGTCTTTTCCAATCTTAATGATTCTATGACATAAACTCCCTTGTGCCTCCTCTCCACCTGACTTCCTCTTCCCTTCCATCCTCTGAAGCACAAGGATGGACACGCGCTGCCAGTATTTCTTGGAAGGGACTGAGAATATGACCTTTGACTTCATGCCAAAGCGTCTTCAGTCACCCTTTAAAACGCAAAGGATGGTGTTAATCAGTAACTTTTGCCTGTTCAGGTTGTTTAATGCAGGCTGCGCTATGCAAGTGCAAACTGACAATGCTTTTTCTTTCTGAAGCACTGTTCTTCCAGACACGAGCAGAAAAAGTCGCCAGAAGACAAGAACAGTGGCGAAAACTACAAACCCAGTATTCAACCACACCATGGTCTACGATGGCTTTAGACCAGAAGATTTGAAAGAAGCCTGCATAGAACTCACAGTCTGGGATCACAACAAACTTGCCAACCACTTTCTGGGAGGTCTCAGGATAGGCCTTGGAACAGGTACTTGATGATTAACACATCAGTCCTTAATTTACCAAATACAGTATTTCATGGTTTTTTCCTCTTTTCCTCTTCCTTTCAATTTCTTCTCTCTCTCTCTCTCTCTCCTTTTTTTTTTTTTTTTTTTTTTTTTTTTTAGTTTGGTGTAAAAATCCCTGTATTTACCAGACTTTCACAGAATCAAAGAATGTCAGGGGTTGGAAGGGACCTCTAGAGATCATCTAGTCCAGCCCCCCTGCCAGAGCAGGATCACCCACAGTAGATCGCACAGGAACATGTCCAGGCGGGTTTTGAATGTCTCCAGAGAAGGAGACTCCACAACCTCCCTGGGCAGCCTGTGCCAGGGCTCTGCCGCCCTCACAGTGAAAAAGTTTCATTCAATAGCTTACCTATTTGTCATCACAGATCCTGAAATGTAAATAATAGTAGTGTTTATGTGGGTTAGCATGACTGTCAAGTACGGAGAAACATTAGAAATAAAGCTTTGTCTGACCATACATTGTGTCTGGTTCTGTTTGAAATACAAAAATACGGGTTTTTTTTTCCATGCTAAAACTCTTGATAACGTGTTACAAACTTAGGCACGCAAACACTAGGTATGTGATGTGAAGAGAATATTGGGTGCAGATAAAAGAATAGATCAGGAATAGTATGGTAATATTTGAAGACATGGAAAAGCTTATTTATTAATGCAAACAAATTTGTAGCGTAAGGGCAACATAAGATGTGCAGAAAGAAGAATTCTGTGTTTTCCCTATCACCGTATTTGTCCCTTTTGTTGCCCCCTCTGATCTGAGAGAAGGATGTGTTTGGAGTCTTTTCAGGCAAATATAAGAAAAGATTACTTCTCCCAAATTAACTTCTTGCATAGTTTGTTAGAATAACATAAAATACAGATGAGGATAGTGAATCTCAGTTTGAATTTTAGAGTACCCAAGGTTTTATTTTGGTACAAAATCAGTGTTCTGTTTTATTCTTAAACCCTCTCAGATGTTAATTGCCCATACATCTTTCTCCATGGGACTGTGACAAAAACACTAAGGATAACAAGGAAAAAAACACCTGGAGAAGGATGTTTCCATGTGAAACTTCTGTTAATTGTATTTTACAGAATTGCTCATGTGTAAAAAATGTAGAAATGTATCTTCAAAGTACTGGGTCAGCTACTTAAGGAGGTGAAACCGTTCGAGAAGAGTAGCAAATTTGATTGTCTGCTCTCAAATTCTGCAGCGTGGTAAGAATTGTTTCTCTTCAAACTGACTTTTATTTTTTTTTCCTAGGCAAAAGCTATGGAACTACAGTAGACTGGATGGATTCTACTTCAGATGAAACTGCCCTTTGGGAGAAGATGATGAAGTCGCCGAACACGTGGATAGAAGATACGCTACCTCTCAGGATGCTGATGGTTGCAAAATTGACAAAATAAGGTGGCTTTTGAATTGCTAGTGTCAAAAAGAAGCCTTGGAAATGAAATTAAAGGTCAGGGGATGAAGCTTGGAAGAGGAACACTGCAGCTCTTTTGACAGCTTCTCTGTTGTTCTGGTTTTATGCTGTCAGACGTTACTTCGCATTTCAAATTAAGCTTCTGCGTGTGGGTTACGATGCCCATTTAAGGGATTTTGATGTCAGAGCTCTCTAGCGAGGAATGTGAAGTCGAAGAGTTTTTCTTAAAAATCCTTTATTTGTAGTTGTACAGGATATGAAAGTTGCTTCTATAATGAAAGAAGCCTTGCATGAAGTGGTACTGGCAATGTCCTTTTCTGCAAGGGGCAGAGGACCATTAGTTCCAATGTAACATAAAAATCCAGGTTATAAAAAGTTTGCTTATATGTGCGTTAATTGTCTCGCTAGCACACGTCCCTTACTCTTAAATGCTGAAAGCATAGAGGTGAAACCTTTTCATAATCCAAATGCTACTCTAAACGATCTAAACCTCCCAATTTTAGTGATGTCAAATACGTTGGTTATTTATTCTGTAAAGAGTACTCGTTTGTACCTGTATCTCGTAGCTTGGGGTTTTTTGCCAAAATAATTTCTCTCTGCTTCAGCGCCACCGTTAGGAGAATGCCGGGATTGTGGTGGTCTTGGCTTAATAGCTTTGCGGCGTGGGAAACAGGACTGGAATTTGTAACTTGTAGAAATGCATGCTACTAAAGAAACATAAATGCATGAAATACAAAATGTATTACTTTTTTTCTAATAAAAGCAGCCTACTGAAGCTAAATGGGGATTATTTATTAAAAGCCAGCGTTTTAAGTTTAGCATGAGGAAAGGCTGAAGGAGCTGGGCCTCTTTGGCTTGGGGAAGAGGAGTTTGAGGGGAGACCTCATTAATGTTTATAAATATAAAAAGGGGGAGTGTCAAGAGGACAGAGCCAGGCTCTTCTCAGTGATGTCCAGTGATAAGACAAGGGGCAATGGGTACAAGCTGGAACATAGGAGGTTCCACGAAAACATTAGGAAAAACTTTTTCCCTGTGAGGGTGACAGAGCCCTGGCACAGGCTGCCCAGGGAGGGTGGGGAGGCTCCTTCTT